CCTAGTCTAGGAGGTAATAAGAAATGACTTCAATGCATTGTCACATTTCTTTTGATGTGATAAAATTTCCAAAATTTATAATATTTAAGAGTTTTATAACTATGGAAACATCAAATGTATTTGAATTTTAATTCACACTTTTTAATTCAGATATAAGTGGTATATTGTGTGTTATACACCATTAAAATATGTGAAAATATTAACACTGATGAAATAATTTTTGAGTAAATTAATTTATGGTTGCAGAAATTTTAGGTATGGATTTAAGATACTGTCATATCTCTATAAGTTTGTCATTCTTTTCTTGTGTAGTTTCTGTCATATATAAAAATTAAATCCTAATTGAAAATGTCTATATATGGCAAATATTTTATATATGTATAGAAATGGTACAGTAATCATTTTCCTATATAATCTACAAGATCAATGCAATTTTGAAATTCTTATGATATTTGAAGTTGTATACAACTCTGAAACAGTAATGGTTAAACTGATTGAAAATAGATTTAATATGGGTTGAATCTTTAGATTCTTTCAAAATTACCCTCCTCCACAGCCACATCAATGTTTATAACAGCACATTTCCCAATAGCTAAACTGTGGAACCAACCTAGATGCCCTTCTATAGATGAAAGGATAAAAAGTGTGGCATATATACACAATGGAATATTACTCAGAAATAAAAGAGAATAAAATCTTGACATTTGCAGTTAAATGGATGGAGTTAGAGAAGATAATGCTAAGGGAAGTTTGACAATCAAAAAACCAAATGGTGAATGTTTTCTTTGATATAAGAGGGCTGATTTATTGTGGGATAGGGATCAAGAGCATGGGCAGAATGGATGAAGTCTAGAGAGGGCAATGGTTGGAGGATAAGGGAGGGGGCATTGGGGTTATTCATGATGGTGAAATGTGATGATCATTATTATCCAAAGTACAGGTATGAAGATATGAATTGGTGTGAGTACACTATGTATACAACCAGAGATATAAAAAGTTGTGATCTATATGTGTAATAAGAATTGTAATGAATTCTGCTGTCATATATAAATTAATTAATTATTTAAAAAATTACTCTCCTGAAAATGGGCTGCAATTTATACTCATTGATGAGAAGACAATTCTTCTATGAATAGTACCCAATGTCAAAGTTGTTGTACTCACATAGGGTCATTAATGACCATCCTCAAGGCCTTGAGAAGATCTGTACTTGTGAGTGTTCTATATTCCAATCGAATAGCTGCTCCCTTGGCCTTCACATAAGCAATGTTATCAGGTTGATCCGCAAACAAAGGAATGCCCACCATAGGGATCCCATGGTAAATCCCCTCATAAACACCATTGGCTCCACCATGAGTTATAAAGGCTTTTGTTTTTGGATGACCTAGGATTGATTTAATGTCAGAAAAA